TTCAGCTTAGGTTCAAAAGATCCTGTCTAACAGCTGGTCCTTGGCCAAAATTATTGGCATTGATTTTTCCCAGATTATCAAAACCCATTTTCAGCTGAGTCGAATAGAATACTGAGGAAAGATGACTTATTCTATCACAAGGAGAAAGTCAGTTCAAAAGGCAAAAGTAGAAATATGTCGCTAGAACTAGAAGCAGAATTCAGAACTCATATAATGCAGAAACACCAAATCAATACAGAAACACTAAGCCAATGCAGAAATACCAAATCAATGCAGAAACACCAAATCAATGCAGAAATACCATCTTCTTTTGAGCTCTTCAGCTGAAATAAAAAAAATTATTATGTAGATAATCTGAAGCTAGAATATCTTTGCCAACACAACTACTTAATTTGGTCACAACTTGCTTTTTTAAACAAAATACTACCTCTTAGAATAAACAGCAGTTAAATGCAAAAATAATTTAAATAGTCTACAAGTAATTATTGAACAATGCTGAACATTTTTGAATAGTTTTATGGATTTATTAGTAAACAAGGATACAGTATCCACTTTCATGCATGTTCGCAAAGAAGCACACAGTCAGACAAAAACCAATCTAATGAGAATTAGATTACAATTTCGTATCTTGTTTGTTGTACGATATTTTTAGTTTACATTGTAATTTAAGAAGTTTTCTACCAAAAGCTTGTCCCAATGTGCTTAACCAAGCTTGTCATGTAGAACCTGTTTCTTGAAAAAATAAGGAATTGTGGGATATTGAAACTTTATTTAGAGCAATATGACAGCCTTTTGGGGTTTCGGTATCTCACAACTTCTAATTTTTATCAAGAAACGAGTTTTATGTGACATGCTGTGCTTGGTTAAAAATACGTTTGGGACAGGGTTTGGTAGAAAACTTCCTAGGTTACAATGTAGACTGAAAATGATATCAGAAAACAAAGAAGAATCGAACTGGTTATCAAATTTTAATAAGATTGGAAAAAAACAGGCTTCAAACTTCAACATGGCCAAAATACTTGAAATTTAGACACACAGTAATTTCAAATATGAGCTTCACAATTCTGTAAAACGACAATTCTAAACCTCTTAGTTCAAAAGTCTCTTTGGCATTTCTGAAAATCTGAAAACCAGCAATTTTTGGCACTTTTTCCAAAGAGCTCAGATTCGACTTTGATGCATATTGAGGACTCACAGGAAAGCAGTGAGATAGAAAATCATGTTACTCTACTGATAAATACATATTCTTATAGGCCAAATTTGAGAATCCGAATTAAATGTTCATTCTAAGGGGTAGTATTCCTTTAAAATCATTTGCAAATGTAAGCCTATAAATATTGTACTTTTTCACATTTTAAATTGTATGATAGAAACGCTAGATTTTCATTTGAAAATTGCCAGTCATCAAATACCCTACGAATATTGAAATTTCGATACTTTTAATTCATTTGTAGATTGCAAATAATTAAGTAGTAAATAATTAGATGACTATGTTCACTAAATCCCCTGTAACATACCAACGGCTTTTCATCTGTAGACGTGGTTCTTCTCATTGAGCACTCATTGGAGGTCCCTCTTTTTCATCTGTTAATCTTTTCTTCTTCCTTCTTCTTCATA